TTTTTTTTTACACTGATTACTAATAACAGTATAATGTTTCGTTTTATCAAATATTAAACTGTTGCAATTTATAACTGCTGCCCGTAAAGCAGCAATTTTTATTCATTCACCTCTACTTTTCTACTTTTTTTTTTTTTTCCTCTTCCATTTCTATTTATTATCCAAATTTTTTCTTTTTTTATTCCATCATCATTTCAATTTTTCATTTTTATCACTGTTTCTTTTTTTGCCTATCAATTTACAAATGATTCATTATGTGCCAACAACAACAACAACAACAAAAAAAAAAATGACATAAAGAATTTCATTTTTTTACGTTTTTTTTTTTTTTTTCAGATTATTTGACTAACTATTTTAGCGAAAAAAAAAAAAAAAAAAAAACTATCAACGATGAATAATTATACAACAATAATGGTAACAATTATCACTGCTTTAACATTATTTTGGCATTTATGTAATGCTAAAATAAGTATTAAAAAAAATTTTCATTTATTCAATCCAACAGCAAAAATAGCGCAAATAAAGTTGGAAAACAAATGGGAAACCAAATATTATGAAACGATGCCGGTTGATCACTTCTCAGCTACAAATATGGATACTTTCAAATTGAAGTAAATTATATAGCAATTTATTCATTACCTTTTATAATAACACTTATTTACGTGTATACCATCAAAAAAAACTATTTTTATATTATCAATAATTTGAAAAAAAAAAAACATCAATGCTATTTTAACTCTATTTTAGTGATGTCTTTTTCTTAAACAATCTTTAATACCAAATTATCAAAAAGTTTTGAATGAGGGTTTTCTTTGGTTTATACCAATTACTGCAGTAAATTTTATTTGAATTTAATGCATCTACAAAAAATAAAGTTTTTAATTTTTTTTATCAAAGAAAAAAAATTTTTTTTTTTTTTTTGTTAACACCGAAAGCATTTATTCTCTGATTGATAAATAAACAAACAGTTTTGAAGCATTAGACTGATTTTTAAGACTGCAATTATCAAGAACACAAATTAACTTTTTTATATTACAAATTAAAGTTGTCATAAATTATTGGCCAATAGAAAAAGAAAAAAAAGTAGTCATATTTATTTGTCATTACCAAATCAAAATAATTTTTAATTCAAATTTCCATAACAAACCAAAGAAAACCCTTATTTGCCATCCGTTTAAAAATGGAGAAAAAATTTTTAGTTGACTTAACTGTAATAATTGTTTCTCATCCCACAACACTAATCTCTTTTTCTATTCTTTTTTTTTTTCTTCTTACAATTCTTTAGTAGTAAAATTCTGTAGTGATTAAAGATTAGATCAATTTTACCTAACATTTTCAATAGTTATATTAGTTTTTCTTGTCAAATGATCACCAACTGATAGATCATATTTATTGCTGAGCAGCAGCATTCTCACTGTAGAATAAACTAAGAAAAAAAGAACTGTTTATTTTCTGTAATTATAAATAGCAGTCAAAAAAAGAACTATAACTTTTACAAAAAAGAACAAATTAAACCTAAAAAAAAAAGAGCAAATAAGTGAAATAAAAGAAAACTTTAATCTCTTAAGGTATCTTCTCAATCGCCAAAATTTTAATCCTTCCAATGGCACAATATTTTTCTACACTGGAAACGAAGGAACCATTGAAGGATTTGCAACTGCAACAGTAAGTTTAACAGTTCATTTAATATCCAGATTAGAAAAAAATTTTTTGTGAATTGTAAAGTTTAGAATTTTTAGCGTTAGTTTCTCTCATAAATCCCAGTTTAAAACAGGGGATAGAGAAAAGGAAAAAAAAAAGCTTCTTCTTTTTATAGAATGACCCTCTAAAAGAATAGGTGAACAAAGTTTCCAACAAGAAAAAAAAACAAGGAGAAAGCATAGGTTAATCCAAAGAAAAAAAAGTCTATATTTTTTCAATTTTTAATCCTTGTCACTTTCATATTGTCCTTTTTTTTTTTTAATGCAGAAGTAATTTATTTCAATGATGAAAAAACTGTTTTTTCATCGAAAATCTTTAGCATTTTTTTTAATGGTCAAATATTAACACCTGTTAATATTTATTTTCTATAATGACCTAAAAACTTACAACAAGTTCTTTTGACAGTTGCTTTTTTAGCTTACTAACTGTTTATATAACGTTTATTACAAGAGAATTTATTCACAAAATAATGCTCGCTTAAAAACCAATGATTGTTTTCTGACTAAAGTATACAGGAAAAATTTAAGCTTTCACTCAAAAAATTGAAAGTAGCAGCTGTCAAGAATAGGCAGCAGAAAAGAGGCGAATGCTTTTAGCAGGTAAACGAACAACTACTCTCAATAATTGGCAAGTAGTTCACAGATCTTAAATTAGAGGAAATTCAAGCTAAAAATTGGCTAACCGTAATATTTCTAACCAGAACAATTGTATGAACAATAAAAAAAAACTACTATTTTTAAGAACACGTGGTAAAAATATTGAACAAAAAAAAAAACCAAAAAATAAGCCAAATTTCTGCAGTGAATTCGGTTCTGCTTTGGTCATCCTTCAAATTTTCCCACTTCTGGAAACGAAAAGAGAAAGGAATATTTAGACGCTTTTGAATATTCTGTCTACAGCTCCACTCCACACCCTCAGTCCTTAGGTGATAGGTAGAGAAAAAGCCTCTTTTTAAAGAGTAAGGATATTGAATGTTTCTGGTAAGAAATCTGCTGTTTCAAAATGATATTTAGACTACTGTTGCTTATTCATAGTTTGCTACGATCCTAGACCAGTAGATGAAAGAGTTTTTAAAATAAAGAGTACTGTAGAAAAACTGGAGCAAGAATTGCTTACTTACCCAAGGTGTTGGTTGGGTTATTTTTCAATGTATTACAACGTGCAGCGGAGTTTGTCGTCTACGAATAAAAATCGCTGAAATGCGTTGACAGAATATAATTGGTCAGTGCTAAATTTGAATCTTTACCAGAAGAATTGCGAGAAAAAAACCTGCATCCCATCTTACAGTGTAGGCAATGCACACCCGATCATATGTGGGAAAAAACTCCTATGAATGTTTTCTTCATTCTGCTAAAACTTCCGTAATTAAGGGTACACAAGAAACACCTTGTTAGCAAAAATTCAAGAGTTTTTTTTGTTGTCTTGCAAAAAAAAAAAAAATTTGTTCAACCTCTGAAAGTTATGTGGTCAGAATTTTTAAAAACCCAAGCGGAAAACAACCTTTGACGTAACAAGCTGTCCAAAAGTAGCACTATACACGTTCTCCATCTACAAAAGTACCTTTACGGCTAAATCGAAGAAAGTGAAAGTAGTGCTAAATAAACAGTCACGTAGATTTCGTCAGACAAATATTTAAAACATTTGTTTTGTAAAACAAAGGAGATTTCAAAGCTGGATATGGGCTTCATAGAGTGAACTTTCAAATTGATTGAGATAGAGCGATTTCCTCCATTTTTTGTCATCTCCGAGTTCTTCGTTCTTATTTCTTCTTGAAACTTCCAAAAGCTTTTTCCCCTTTCCTCTTCCGTTTGAGAGAATTGGAGTGACGGATATGTTAAGAGGGACTTTTTGACCGTAGTAGGGGGATACTCTCATTAGACATTTGTATACACACTGTTTTAGTAGCCGAAGGATGACTTTAAGCAAGTAATTTAAGGTTACCAATGTTTTTGAAAATTCAGCATTCCTTCTAAAAAAATAAAGTTTTCTTTTGTTCTGGCAGTTACAAAAATCCGAGAAGTTTGAATAAATGATATAACAGAAAATTTTTAGGGTATTATGTGGGACTTAGCGAAAATGTTTGGAGCAGCATTAGTTTTCGCGGAACATCGTTACTACGGCGACACGTTACCTTATGGCAATAGAAGCTACAAGGTATTGAAAGCCTCACCTTTGCTTTTTCTGGGTGAAACAGTTTAATTGAAGAAAACACAGGAAACTTTTCTTAAATACTTTTTTGTCATCTAGTGCATTTTCGACGTGTGAGTTAAACAGGAGTTTTAATGCAAAACTTTAAAATTTGTTAAAGTTTTGGGCAGAGTTACATTGACTGTTAGAACTGTTTAAATGTAACGTTAAATTTGCAAATTTTTTTGTCGGCTAGAGAGAAAATGAAACGTGTGAAAAAGCGTTGCTTGTAATTCAAGGAGAGGAGCCACAGCACAAGTTTACAAATTCTGTGAATTGAGTGCAGTTAACTAATCCAGTTCATATTAACTCAAATGCTGCAGTCATCATCAAAATACTTCTAAGAACAATCTTTGGAACAAAGAAAAAATTGATAAAGGCTGCTTCTCTGTTCAGTTTGTTTTGTATTCATTGTATCAAAGGTAATGGCTTTGAAAGTACTGCATATAATTTATGAGGGTTTTTTCGCAATATTTACCGAAAGGAAATTCTTTCACACACTTACTTGCGGTTTCTTGACCACAAAAACTATGAAAATTTTATGGTATTTGAAATTTCATACCGTCCCTACTAGAATTTCGTAGACATTTATAATTACAGATTTTGTCTCGACTACAGACAGAACTCTAGAGATTTTGGAAATTTGTCCTCTACGTCTCCTCTCATACAGCGACCTATTGAGACCCTATTTCTATAGCCTTCACCGTGAGTGTAATTAGCCCTTACTGCCCACAGTAGCAGCCTTAGCTCCTCGTATTTCTTTTTCGAGCTTAGGACGTCCACCAGTCTTATGCTTCTTATAATGATCAATTAACTCTATTTTCGATGCTGGAACTCATGCCTCGTTGACTTTGGAAGAACTTGATCTAATCCTTAAATTAGCTCGTCTACGCCTATTGACTGAGTGATATGCTCTATGCGCACTAATAATCTTAGTGCTAACCACTTTACTACTCACGTTGAAATAATATAGTAGTTACAGATTCACGACAGCGGTGTCTATACCTACTCTGTACTCAGCAGGGTAATAAAAAGAAAAAACAAACAAAATATTATAAATAAATTAGCACACAATAGTAATATCTGCCAATGGGCACATGAAAATAGCTTGAGTAGGAAAACCCCAAGAAGACTGTATTGATTGATGCCGATTAAAACTAAAAAGAAAAACCTTTCAATGAGGCCTTACTCCCTATTTATACACTTGTTTTGTAGTGATTCTTTGTAGTGATCCCATCTGCTGTACCTCCAAGAGCTTCCCCTCAGAGGACATACAGCAGCCGATCACCTCATAATATAAAGTTGCCATTTCGCGTATGGTCCCGACAGATTTAGTAAGAAACAAGTTCATAAATTAAAAAGTAATTACTCGTGATTGCGAAAATCTATTCAAGACTTTCAAGCAATTTTTTGAGGTGCACTTTAACATAGCTTAGTTTAGGATGTTACCAAACTTGGTTACCTTAACTCAATACAAGCATTAGCTGACTTCGCCGACTTGGTTCCATACATCAAGTCAAGTGTGCTTAACTGTTCGGCTTCCACACCCGTAATTGCCTTTGGCGGATCCTATGGAGGAATGCTAGCAGCATGGATGCGTATGAAATACCCACATGTTGTCAACGGGTAAAAACATACATCTTTTGTCACATGTAATCACTCTCGGTTAAATGATAAGTTTTTCCTTGAATCACTTAAACCAAACAATTTTAGGCGTCAGTAAAGGTTCTTAAAAGTAGAGTAAAGAAATTTTAGCTGGAGGAAAAGTAATTTTTTCCCTCTGAAATTTGAACGTGGATATATAGACCTCAAAAGGAGATCTACGGTTTTTAAACATTTGAGCAATTTACAAGCTTTCTTCAATCTTTCAGTGCTTGGTCAGCCTCAGCACCTCTTTTATACTTTAAAGGTGGTAACATCAGTTCTGGAGCCTTTTATAAAGTTACCACTCAAACATTCCTTAATTCCGGTTGTTCCACTGAAGCAATATCGAAAGGCTGGTCGGCTGTAAGGAGTTTGGCAAAAACAGGTTAGTGAGCATGTATCATTGCGAATTTCATTATATATCAAAGGGGAACTTAAGCAAAACAATGTTTGTTTTGACAATAGGGAAACTTTGCAGCTGTCAATGTCTTAGCTGTTAATCAAATTGCAAAAAAAAATTGTAAAATACTTTGACATTTATTTTCCCCGGTGATTCTAAACAGTTAATGTACCAAAACAGTAAATTTTCTCAGTTATCTGTTCATTTTTTTTTCAGCTAAAGGTCGGAATTTTTTAAATAATTTGTTTCGCTTAAACGAGGTATCAAAAATAACCAAACCAGAGGACGCTGAAAATATAGTTGAGTTTGTAAGAGAAGCAATTGAATATTTAGCTATGGTAGACTATCCATATGCGTCTGATTTCCTAAAGCCATTACCAGCGTGGCCAGTCAAGGTATTCTTCAGTTTTATTATAATCTTTAAATATCTGTACAAGAAACGGTGTAACGTTTTGAACAGGAATTTTGCAAACACGTCACCAAAACAAGCAACAATGCAGAAGAGTTAGCTACACAACTGTATAATGCTGCCAACGTATATTACAACTACACTGGTAAAGAAACGAGCTACTGTATCAATCCAACCGCGTGTGGGGACACAGCAACTTCGGAACTCGGTTCACCATTAGGATGGCCATGGCAGGTTTGTCTTCTCTGCTACTCAGTAAGCACACACAACTTTATAACACAATAAATTCCTTTTTTACAGCAGTAATATCCTTAAATTTGGACTTTCTTGCACAAGTAAGTTATTAAATACTTGAGCTTATTTTGGTCAGCTACTTTTCAAACAGTAGATCATTTATTTTATCAACCAAGATTAAAATATAACATATGAGCAACCCTCGATCACAACGAGACAAATCTGCTAAGTTAAGAAAATTGAGAATTAGTAGGGTTGAAGAGCCTGAAATGTTGAAAAAATCTAAATAAGGAATTTTAATCTAGACCTACTCAGGCAACAATGACTACCTAGAAAGCTAATAATCAGCAAAAGCAGCAGGTTATTTCGTAAAATGTGCAGTAACGTTCTCAAGAGAAGAAGAAGATCCTACATCGGCTTTAGCTAATTTTAAAAACTAAAGGCAGAAAAGAAAGTATAGAACTAAGGCAGATGTGATTTGTTTCAGGCCTGCACAGAACAAATTCTGAGAATTTGCGCGATGGGAGGAGAAAACGACATGTTTTTTGATGAGTGTAAAGATTACGACATTCAGGATCTCAATTACTGCAACTACACCTTTGGAAGTAGAGGATTTCTGGAGAGTATGTATCGACCAGAAGCTGCAACGCACCACTATGGCATGAATTTCGCAGCTGCCAGCAACATTGTCTTTACGTAAGCTTCTCATTGTAACTTTTTGCCGCATATTAAACACTTTTGAAGCTCTCAGATTTTTACTGGTTCACCTTGAAACCTTATTATTTTGTAATGCATGAAGTCCAAAAAAAAAACATCTCTTTATAAATTCAAAGAGGTTACTAGAGTCGTTTCCTAAACATGTGTTCAAAGTAGTGTCTTTAAAACAAAATCATAGCTAGGTAAGCAATCAAAAATTAAAAAATTCCAAAACTAAAAAGTGAAATTCTTTAGACTCTGTTAACTTGAAGTCACCGATTCTGAAGTTTAGGCGTTTTGAAATAATATCTGAAGTTTTTTCCAATCTCTCTCCACAGTGTTGTAAAATAAAGAAGAGATTACATTAATTGGCAAAATTTCGAAAAATCTCAGATAACAAATTTCAAAAGTGTGGATTTGGCCCATATTTTAAAGCAAAGTGAACAACTGATGGTATTTCCAATAGGGTAGTGTGAAAAAATTTTATCCCTCACTGTAGCAATGGGAACCTGGATCCATGGTCAAGTGGCGGAGTTTATCAAAACTCTCCCGGAATTAGCAAAGCGGCCAAACACGGAGTATATACATTTAAGATAGAAGGAAGTGCTCATCACCTTGATTTACGACAACCTAATAGCTGTGACCCGCCACCTCTTGTCAACGCACGATATCAGGTAATCCGCAGTTACCGCTTAGACTCAAATATGCAAGCATTCAGACGCCTCTTAACAACTGCTGTCACGCAAAAAGGAACTTTTCGCAAAAAAAAGCAAGGTAGATCTTTTTCTAAAAAATAACACTTTACAGATCGTTAACATATTGAAATGTTTTGCTTATGGTTGCCCTGAATTCCCAAAGGCATATCCGTTACCACCGATGGACAGCGCCATTAATTCGAACAACTGCTCCGAGAGAATCCAGCAATATCCTTGGGGGCAAGCAAAAGTAATGTTTGTTCTCAAAAAGTTTTTACAGTAATGAAAACTTTAATTATCAGAATTTTTGGGGAAGAATCGGTAGAATGGTCTGGAATCTGGTTACGCATTACATTTAAAAACTTTTGCTAGCTAAGAATTAAAGTTAGTTTACTTTCAGCCAGCGGAAATCGATAACTCCTCTGATAAAGTCACTTATTGCGTTCTTATTTTCGTCGCCTCCATGATGTTCGCCTTTTATAGATAAAGATCCTTAAATACCTGGCGCCTGCGCAATAAACCCAAAGAAAACACATGAAATAAAATTGAAGTGTGGACACCGTAAAAAATCTGTTATATAAAAGGACAAGTGGCTTAGCATTCGCAGCTTTTACACAGAAAAGTTCAGTAAAACAGATGTTGCAAAAATTGAGAGACAAAGAGAAACACATTTAAATAAGACCTCGACGGAACTAAGAGAATTAAAAAAGAAATAGATATGAAAGCTTCGAGTTTTTTAGAGTTTTAAACATAGTTGTACTACTAGCTGTGGTGGCAGAGCGTAATTCCAGAAACTTTTTCAGCAGAACGTGTACTACTGCTCTGAAAGTAACAAATAAGAGGGTGCAAACTAACAAAGGCCGGCCTAATTAGGAAATACATCGACATTCTAAGAGTGAAATGCTACAGAGATGAAAAGCCTAACGAAAGGCCAACTTTTAACTGCACATTGCTCTGGGGCATCTCGTCGAACATAGCTTGGGAAAAATGTGTAAATGTGGATCCACAAGTAGCAATTGTTGCAATCATTATTAATATGTCCCGATATTTACATCGCAGGAGTTTTGCTAAAAGGCAACAAAAAGCTTAGATTAATAAGTAGATGGTTCCGGAAAACTTCCATTCAAAGGTGAGTAAAGCGTGAAAGCTTGACTCGTTTAAATGCGACGGTTGAAAAGTTCTAATGTGCATATGATATGGCTTAGAAGTTAAGCGTACTGAAGCACTCAAAGAAGTTTTCTGAAAGAATGATTTTTCGCTTGATGGTCAAAGTGAAGATAACAGTTTACAGTGCCCTTTAAACCATTTAAAATGCAAGGTTCAATTTTTCAAAATGGTATAACTCGCTTCAGAAACAATCAAAACGCTCTTTGTAAGTTTTTTGACTGTGACAGTGCACTGTATTGCAGATCATTTCAGCCAATTCTGCTGCACCATTCTTCATTTGGTTCTCATTCATACACTCCTGGCATTCGCTCACTTTCGCTGTAGTCAGAATCTAGAGAATAAAAAAGCCGCCGATCAAATACGACTTTTATAGTAAAATTGCTCAGCGACAAATTACACAACTTCCAGGAGTGATGTCTTAGATCCTTTAAAAATTTTGATAACTAGTAGGAACAAACGCTCGACTCGCAAATCAGAAGAGTTTACCTGCCAAACTGACGTCAACGACAAGTGATACCTTACTAAGCTGTACAACTTATCCAAGTTTCTGAGCAGTCATACTTTTTGGCATTTTTTTCAATTGTGCACAGAGAAATCCATGCCGTTTTGGATACAAAATGAGCAAACTTTATAAGGAAAGAGAGGGAGCCAAAATTTACAGCAATATAAACCTTAGCCGTTTACAAAAACGTACGTGTATAATTTTTTTGCTCAGTAATATAAGGCAACATTCAAAGCCGGATCTTCTGGAGTCACACCAGTTACACCAGCTAGAGCGGTGTTCCTCAAGGGAAGTCGCAGATGGCTTATAAGGAAAACAAGCGAATGCCGAAAGCGTCCTACAGTTTCAAAACAGATAATTTGCTGGCCTCCAGAAGAACCTCGTACTCGAACGACACTATTGGAAGTGGGAAATAATCATGGACAGAAAGACGACGGATAGTGGGGTTGAGAGGCTGGTTCGATAAGAGATGACGCTAAAGTTAAAACGGCAACAGTTGAACAGGCTAGAAACATTGCGCTAAGATGATATGGGTAGAAAACCTGA